ACGCTGCCTGGGAAGCAGCTAGCTGAAAATGGTCACTTTTACTCTATCTTCCTGAATATTATCCTATGGCAAGGACCAGAATCAAAGCAGTCTTTTTATTACAAAGGATGCCTCCACAGTCTCCACAAATTCACTGTTCTGGAGTTCTGCCACACCATGGTCGTCTGGGGACTGGGTGTTTGATTTTAAAAGTTCAGTTGGATTTAGTGTGTCTGATGTTGTGTATTGGTGTTTAGTAATCTCTTAGTATCTCAGGGAGAGTGACACTGTAAAACTGTAAATCAGAATAGGTCAAACTCAGAGACAAATTTGTTGAGGTTCCCCCCCCCCCAGCAATGCTGGGTATTAATTCTTCCCCTTTGGAGTCTGCTATTACTTTCTCTTTTTTTGATTATTAACTAGTTGGATTATTTTGACAATGTCTACTTCTCCCTCCCTTAGGACACAGTACCGATGGTCTTTGGAAAGGTGTATTACCTTCATATGTAGGCCCACAGTTATCCTGGGAGGAGAGTGGTTTTTTCGTGATTCACTTTGATCATTTCTTTCCCTGACCACACTCAGCCATGACTCTCTAGTCTCTGCTGGTTGGGGAATACATTGCTCAACAGATTGATCCAATTAAATTCAGGTTCCTTTGAAGGAATAATGTTTTAGGCTGTGCTTGAAAATTTTCTGACTCCAACAGGGAGTCTTCTTAAGTATCTTTATCCTTGATTCTCTTGGCAAGATAGCTCGCCTATTACTTTAGCTTTTATTTGTAATGATTCTAGTTCCTCTCAATTGCTTCTAACCACAGAGTCTATTAATTTTTGAGAGGACCATAAGCTTTGACTTTATACTGTGTTGCAAGTGGATTAACTCTCTGAGGGAAACTATGCAGAAATCTCTGCCCTATGAACTGCTTTACCCCCTGGGAAAATGTTGGTGTTGTTGATGTGGATAAGGGAGATAGGGGGAAATGCTTAGGGTATGGAACCAGTCTTTCAAATCCTAGACAGAGTAACTCCTTCTTGCTGCAGACACCATTTAGCTGTTCTGTGCCACCAAATGCAGCAAAAAAGCCCTTCTTCCCAAGGTTGTACCGAGAATGCCAAGACCAGAAGAATCCTTAAGAAGAGTAAGGACAGAATGCACGTAAATTTGTAACTCTCAGAAACTGGTTTTATTTATGGCATATATTATTTGAGCCCAGTGTTCCTCCACTGCGTTAACACCAGGTAGCGCTCTGAACTTAGGCTTGTCTCTATTCTGTTGTAGACCGAGAGCTATGTAAGTTAGGAACGTGATAAGCAGAGATGGGGGAGTGAGTGGTATGATAGCTGGACTTTAGAAAAATAACAGCGGTTGCAATCATCCAGTGCTCCTTAAGTGGCTCCAAACAAACTGAATTTGCTCATTAAATTTAACTTCAGTGAATCGTTCTTTGGGATGTTTATATTATTTTAGGTTGTGGTCAGATGTTAATTATATACACTGAAAAAGTCATGCAATGGGATCTCTTTAATAAATGACACTACTTTAGGAGGTTATGTACCCAATGATTATATTAGTGGAGATAGGAGCTTTGTAATAGAGACAATAAAAAGGAGACCCAGCCAAGTATGCAAGAATACAGGCAAGGTTTTAATGAAATCTCAAGTGACTGTTTTTGTTTGGAAGCAAAAGGGAGACAGCATAGACCAAAGAGAAGATCACATTGCTCTCTGAACATAGGGTGAGAGTTGCTGCAGGGGGCTCTCTGAACATAGGCAGAGAGTTGCTGCAGAGGGCTATCTAGCAGCCTGCATCTTGCCCTAAGAGCTCTGGATGTGTCCCTTGCTGCAGCTTCTCACAGGGCATGAGGGGAAAATATGAAGTGTTCTCAAGGACTGACTCTTCAAGAGAAGAATCTCTCTACCCAGCTGGGGGCCTAAGAGTCTCAGCACTGTTGGAACCATGTTAGGGCCTTTGTCTCATAAGTGATGGCAGCATGAAAGAAGAGAGCTTCTACGTCTCTACTGCATTCGCCCGGAAATCAGATTTGGGGGGAAAAGTGGTTGAAACAGCATTCAATCTTTGAATGTTCTGTTCTTTTGAGAAGACTTTTGAGTGATGACTCTGGTGTTGGATGAAGATAATGCACTGTTGTATTAACTGCAACAGTCTTGAATCTTCCTGTACAAAGGAGAAAGAGGGTTCTCTGTCCAGATCTGTACCCCATTTTTAACTGGATTATTTGGTATTTTGATGTCTAGTTTCTTGAGTTCTTTGTACATTTGGAGATCAGCGTTCTATCAGATATGGGGTTGGTGAAAATCTTTTCCCATTCTATAGGCTGTTATTTTGTCTTATGGACTGTGCCCTTTGTCTTACAGAAGCTTCTCAGTTTTAGAAGATCCCATTTCTTTTTTTTCTTTTTCTTTTCTTTTCTTTTTTTTTCAAAAGCAAGGTTTATTTCCTTGCAGCTAGCTGGGAGTTCTCCATTACATATGTCGCAGCAAAGTAGGGAGAGCTCCCATTCCTCATTGGGGTTGACATATATAGGCAAAAGCCACAAGCCAGGTTTACTTAGAGTCAAGAGAGTTAGTTTTGCTGAGTACAAGGTATGGACTACTTCTGTTTCTGTGCATGCCCCTACCCTCCCCCTAAGCAGTTATTTTCTGATCCTGTCTAGACCACAAAGCTGGGTGTTGACAGGGGGCTAGCTGCTAGGAAAATTTGGTCTGCACTTTTGTAAAGGTTCCTATTTCCAGCTAACTCTTTTTTGTCTTTTGTGTGTTTTTTTTTTCCCTGACTGCTCTTTGGACTGGAGTGGGAGGGGGTGTGGAGTGGGGGGTGGTGGTGAAGGGTGGGAGGTGGGGGTGGGAAATGGGAGGCTGGGAGGAGGCGGAATCTTTTTTTTTTCCTTTTCTCAATGAAGATCCCATTTCTTAATTGTTGCTCTCAGTGTCTGTGCTACTATTGTTATATTTAGGAAGTGGTCTCCTGTGCCAATGTGTTCATGTGTACTCCCCACTTTTTCTTCTATGAAGTTCCGTGTAGCTAGATTATGTTGAGGTCTTTGATCCATTTGCACTTGGGTTTTGTGCATGGGGATAGATATGCATCTATAACAGAATTTTCAGCAGAGAAAGCTCAAATGACTGAAAGACACTTAAGGAATTGCTCAACATCCTTTGCCGTCAGGGAAATGCAAATAAAAACAACTCTCAGATACCATCTTATACCTTTCAGAATAGCAAAGAACAAAACACTCATGAAAATTTATTCTGGAGAGGATGTGAAGTAACACTCCTTCATTGTTGGTAGGAGTACAAACTTGTATAGCTGTTTTGTAAATCAGTATGGTGGTTTAAAATTGGGAATCAATCTACCTCAAGACCCAGCAATACCACTCTTGGGCATATACCCAAAGGATTCACACTCATACCACATAGCCATTTGCTCAACTATGTTCATAGTAGTGCTATTCATAATATCTAGAACCTGGAAATGACCTAGATGGCCCTCAACCAAAGAATGGATGAAGAAAATGTGGTACATTTACATAGCAGTAAAAAACAATGGCATCTTGAAAGTCACAGGCAAATGGATAAAACTAGAAAAAAAAAGTATCCTGCGTTAGGTAACCCAGACCTAGAAAGACAAACACAGTGTGTACTCTTATTAGACATAAAACAAAGGATAAGCAGCCTACAATTTACAATCCCAAAGTAGCTGGGTAACAAGGAGGACCCTAAGAAAGATGCACATGGTTCCCACTGGGAGGAGGAAATAGACAGGATCTCCTGAGTAAATTTGGAGCATGGGGGAATGGAGAGAGGGTAGAAGGGGAGGGGGAGGAGAATATGAGGGAACAGGATGGTAGAGTTGGTGGAAAGACAGAGAGGGGGAACAAGGAAAGAGATATCTTTTTTTTTGAGGAAAGCTTTTCTACTTTATTACAAAGAGAAGAAGCCTTTATGTGGTCAGAAAATACAAGATTTATCTTTTTCTCTTCCTATGAAACGCTGCTGTTCAAACAGCCAGAGTGAATTGTCTCAGTTCACGTCTTGAAGTCCCATCACATTCACTTGGGTATGGATGTCCTTGGCTGCTGAAAATCTGGCCCTTTAGTGCACAGGGCGACAAAGTCCCCTGACCAGCAGTTCCAGAATGTCCCATTTTCATATATTGCACCCATGCACACCTCCTAAAAATGAGGTACAGCAGGGCAAACATTTTCCAAAATAGATGTCATATATATAATATATACACATTCGTACATACATACCTTTATTCATGTGATGTCCAAAATTTAAAAAAAATGTACACATTTATTACAAAATCGTAACAAAGACTGGACAGTGTTTTGCTCATTCTGGAAAGATGAAGCTCAGTAACAACACAGCCCTGGAAACCATCCAGAGACCGTGGCAATCTCTTTCTTCTACAGTCATATTCTTGCATTAAGCCTGGCGAAACTGCCTTTCAGAAACAGAAGGGGAAGTAAAATGAAAGAAGCAGCCCTTGCTCATCTTTCCAAATGAAATACGAAAAGGATCTTCACATAAAAATGCACAAACATTTGTTATTTTATTACCAATAGTGCTACAATGAACAATGCAAATTTTGTGGTCTAATTTTGTTGAGTCTTTTGTGGGTTTTCTTTTTTACATTTAAGAAACTAAATGGTAACTTCTGTCAGTGTACATGCTTGTCTTAATAGACCCCAGGCTGTCTGCTGTCAAAAAGAAAATAAACGAAAAAATTCAGACCCTGCTCAAACTAGAGAAAACAAATTACAAATTTAGTTGTTGGGCAGTACATAATTGGTAAGGCAGGACCTCAAATGGTGACCCTTTACGTAAGCCAATTGCTGGATCCTCAATGAATTAAAACCAGGTTGCCTGAGCCACATCAGTTCTTCGGATCTGTCGAGTACTGTGCTGAGACAGCCATACCCCAGGAAAGGGAAGTCTTTTAGAAGGCTTGCTGAGCAGGGTTGTAGTTGAAGGTGGATGGCAGGTGAGGCAGTTCAGGGTTAGGTAGCCCCAACAGAAGCTCGCCCAGCATAATATGTATGCCAAAGCAGCAGCCTTCTCGACAGCCTTTTACTGTGAACAGTATGTCTGGATTTGGAATGAACAGGAATCAGGCATTTGGAATTAATAACTCCTTATCAAGTAACATTTTTAATGGAACAGATGGCAGTGAAAATGTGACAGGATTGGACCTTTCAGATTTCCCAGCATTAGCAGACGGAAATAGAAGGGAAGGAAGTGGTAACCCCACCCCATTAATAAACCCCTTGGCCAGAAGAGCACCTTACGTTGGAATGGTAACAAAACCTGCAAATGAGCAATCCCAGGACTTCTCAATACACAATGAAGACTTTCCAGCATTACCTGGTTCCAGCTATAAAGATCCAACTTCAAGTAATGACAACAGCAAATCTAATTTGAATACATTGGGGAAGACGACGTCAAGTACAGATGGACCCAAATTCCCTGGAGATAAAAGTTCAACAACACAAAACAATAATCAGCAGAAAAAGGGGATCCAGGTGTTACCTGATGGTCGAGTTACTAACATTCCTCAAGGGATGGTGACGGACCAATTTGGAATGATTGGCCTGTTAACATTTATCAGGGCAGCAGAGACAGACCCAGGAATGGTACATCTTGCTTTAGGAAGTGACTTAACAACATTAAGCCTCAATCTGAACTCTCCTGAAAATCTCTACCCCAAATTTGCATCACCCTGGGCATCTTTGCCTTGTCGGCCTCAGGACATGGACTTCCATGTTCATCTGAATATTTAACGAACATTCACATTAGGGATAAGCTGGCTGCAATCAAGCTTAGCCGATACGGAGAAGACCTCCTCTTCTATCTCTATTACATGAATGGAGAAGATATGTTACAACTCTTAGCTGCAGTAGAGCTTTTTAACCGTGATTGGAGATACCACAAAGAAGAACGAGTGTGGATTACCAGAGCACCAGGCATGGAGCCCACAATGAAAACCAATACATATGAGAGGGGAACATATTACTTCTTTGACTGTCTGAACTGGAGGAAAGTAGCTAAGGAGTTCCATCTGGAATATGACAAATTAGAAGAACGGCCTCACCTGCCATCCACCTTCAACTACAACCCTGCTCGGAAAGAGATATCTTGATCGCGGGAACCATTATGGGGCTAGCGAGAAACCTGGCACTAGGGAAATTTCCAGGAATTCACAAGGATCACCCCAGCTAAGACTAATCAGTACTGGAAAGGGTGCCTGAACTGGCCTTCTCCTGTGATCAGATTGATGACTACCTTAATTGCCATCATAGAACCTTCATCCAGTAAAATGATGGAAGCAGATGCAGAGATCCATAGTAAAGCACTGGGTCAAGCTCCTGGAGTACAGCCATAGAGAGAGAGGGGAAATAATATGAGCCAAGGGGTCAAGGCCATGATTAGGAAACCCCCAGAAATAGCTGACTTGAGCTAGTATGACCTCACTGACTCTGGACTGATAGTGAACCTGCAGAGGACCAAACTAGGCCCTCTGAATGTGGGTGACAGTGTGTGGCATGGGCAGTTTGTGGAGCCAATGGCAGTAGGATCAGGATTTTTCCCTAGTGCATGAACTGGCATTTTGGATTCCATTCCCTATGGAAGAATATCTTGCTCAGCCTAGATACGATCCTCGGTTCTGCTTCAGAGAGGTGATACAACAGACTTTGTTCATTTCCCATGGCAGATCTTACCATCTCTGAGGAGTGAATGGGTGTGGAGTGGGGAGAAAGTGAGGGGAGCGGGAGGAGGAGATGGAGGGGGAATTAGGATTAGTATGTAAAATCTAAAAAGATTCCTTTAAAAATAAAGAAAGAAGAAAGAGGGCGTGGACATTGGTTCAGATATCATAGTCTCCCATTATTATTATTGAATTTAAATAGATTTTTTGAATTAATGGCGATTTACTTGATGTATTACCTTAACATCACTCCTAAAGAACTCACTCAATTGGATTAAAAACAATTTGGGGGACTGGGAGATATTTTAGTCAAAATAATTTTTTTTCACGAAAACGTAAATTCCTAAGTTCAACCCCTAGCATTAATGTCAGAATTGTAGTTGTTTTGACATTCATAATTCTGGTGCTGGTGAGGTGGAAGTGGGTTGATGATCTCTGAGGTTTTCTGGCCAGCCACTCTAATCAAATCACCAAGCCCCACGTCCCAGGTAGAGACCCTGTACCAAAAAACAAGATGGAAAGTTTCTGAAGAACAATGTATTGCACATTTACCTGTTCACCATACACATGTGAACCCACACACACAGGAACATGCACGCACCCCAACACCCACATAAATAATAAGTTTTACCACTTTAACTGAGAGAAGATCTGCAGAGCTCCTAAGAATATCACACCTGAAGTGTTGCTTCCAGAAATATTACTAATAGATTCTTTAAAAGAACCATCTTGAAAATACCAGCAACACAAATATAAAAACAGATTACGAAACAACCCTTGATTCTCATGGTTACTAGGACACCAACAGAAGTTTTTCATCATGAGTAGTATGCCATTGCCTGACTTCAAATGTTCCAATTACCCAAAACTCTGGTAAGGCTTAGTTCCAAGGATGACTAGTCTATGGCTAGATTTTCCTATGGACGTAGGAATAACACTTTCATACTGTATAACTTACTCTTCAGTTGCTATGAGAAAACACCATGACTACATCAACTTATCGAAGAAAGGGTTCATTTGAGCTTACGATTCCAGAGGATGAGGTTTTCATGGTAGGAATGCATGGTAGCTAGGGCAGAAAGTTGATGGCTTACATCCTCAACCACATCCATGAAACAGAAAAAGTGAACTGAAAGGGATGAGAAGTTTTTTAATCTCCAAGCCAGCCTCCAGTGATGTACTTTCTCTATCAAGGCTAGATCACCTAACCCCCCCCCCCTTCAGACCGCACTACCAACCGGAGACTAAGTGTTCAAGTACCCTAAATTATGGGCACCAATTCTATTCCCACCACTACAATAACCCAAAGAAGTTTCAGTTCCTTCTGTACAACAATGGTAGCCACAAAACAGGCAAAGAATCCTTATAGTTAATTTCCAGGAATGAGCCGTGTCAGTTCCTTTAGTTCCATTACTTTAAGTGTTTTCTGTATTAGGGTGGAGTAAGGGAAATTGAAGACAGGGACTATAATTAGGACACTGATAATGTGGCAAAGGCACATCTGTTTTCTCTAACCCCATCATATGTTTAGTATAAAGCAGCACAAAACACCAAGAGAAGCCCCACAAGTCCACAGGGAAAGAGTAGACTAAATATTTAACATAACCCACCTGTACCGTTTGTGAAATTTACAAGGCTCAGGGCAAGACTTCAATTGGGGGCCTGCGTGACATCTACATAATGATTTGGAATGTTTCAGTCAACTAATTACTTGTTAAATAAAACAATGTGTATCTGTTCCTGGTTATTGGCTGTGTGCTGATTGTTTCCAGGTTCTTGACCTTTTATCCGAAAACTGGAAAAAAAAAGGCTCATGGAGATTTGCAAAAGAAGTAAGATAATTTTGTGTGTGTGTGTGTGTGTGTGTGTGTGTGTGTGTGTAGCAAAGCAGTAGTGCAGATTGTTAGAGGAATATGCTATTAAGACTGACATCAGGTCACATGACTGTGAGCACACACAGGCCCCAGGCTGTCTCTTTCTATGGATCTATGGGAAAGGGGTTGGGTCCTAGGAAGTGTAGTTTGGGTGGTGCTCTATCTTTATCTGTACATTAGGCTATATATTCCTTTCTCCTCTGTGTGTGACACTTCCCCAAATACATTTTATTTCAATCATATTCACAGCCAAATGCATGTACCCATCAGATGATAAATAGGATTCTTTCCAAGAAGTTACTGGAGGACACCATTTCGCTTTACTGAGCACATATCCAAACCTAGTTCAAGCCAGACCTGCCTTTTATATATCTCAATATGTCAGCAAAACTTGAATAGAACTGTCTATATTTGATTGTTATCTGGGGCAGAGAAAGTTACAATATTGTTTAGATACAGGAGTATGTGTAACCCAATATGACTTAGGGGTGGAGGGAGTTCTGAAGTTGCTAGGAGAAGGGTGTGTTTTAGTTGGGGTTTTTATTGCTGTGAAGAGACACCATGGCCACGAAAACCCTTATAAAGAGAACATTTAATTGGGGTGGCTTACTTACTGTTTTAGAGGTTCAGTCATTTTCATCATGGAGGGGAGCATTGTGGCATGCTGGTAGCTGAGAGTCCCTCATCTTGCAGGCAACAGGAAGTTGACTGTGATACTGGGTAGCATCCTGAGCATAGAAAACCACAAGGCCCACCCCCACAGTGACACACTTCCTTCAGTAAGGCCATATCCATTCCAACAAAGCCACAGTTCCTAATAGTGTCACTCCCTATGAGATTATGGGGGACAATTACATTCAAACTACCACAGGGTGTACGCATAGTATGTGTAGAGGAAGGATGCCTGCCAGGTAAATTATTACAAGAGAGTGTGCATAACCCAAACCCAAATGGGGACACCAAACTGAGCCTGCCTCAACTGGCCCTTGAGAACTCCCAACTTACCTGACAGGCATCTTAACAGTACCTGACTCTACAATCTATGCTATCACTTTGCTACAGATAAAGTTATCTTGTTCTTTTAGCAAAGCTGTGTGAACTCTTTCTGTTTGTTTGTTTTGGTTTTGTTTGGGTTTTCTAGACAGAGTTGCTCTGGATCCACTCACTCTATAGACCAGGCTGGCCTTGAACTCACAGAGATCTGCCAGCCTCTGTCTCCCAAATGCAGCCATTCAAGGTTTGTGCACCACGGTTTAGCTGTGAGCTCTTATTTTTAACTCTTTGGATAAGAGTCCAAGAACCCGGACACACAAAACCTGGGCCCTATCCACTAGTAACACTTTTTATTCCATAATAAATCCACCATATCAAGGGCCAAGAGGTTAAGTTTGAAGTTAGAATTCTTTGACTGCTATGCATTTTATACTATCAATGTGGGAATACCAACTACCATCCTTCTAGTCCCTTCTAGACCCCAAGTAAGCCTGTAATCATTTGTCTCTATCTGTTTTCCATCCCTCACATTGACAGGACACATCTATACAAATGTAAATACCTTGGGGCATGGTTCTATGTGGATACTCCCACAGTTAGTCCTCAAACAAACAAAAATAATTACAGATAGGAAATATAAAGATTAGGGTATTGATATTGGGACAAATGTACTAATCTCATCTTAAAAAGTCATATGAGAAAAACAAGTCATATGAGTAGCAAAAGCAATACAAAGTCCTCAAGGTATGTTCTAAAGGCCCACTGGGGACTGAGTAAGAAAATTACTTAGTATAGTTGTATACTTATTTTTCTTGTTGCTATGATGAAATACTTGTAAGAAGCAACAGAAAGAAGGAAAGATTTGTTTCTGGCTCACAGTTAGAGGGGAAATAATCCATCATGGAGGGGGAACTAGGCCGCCCATGGCTCCATGGTGAAAATAGTGTGCAGCTGGGACTCCTCATCTTTGAGGAACAGGAAGCAGGGAAGAGACAGAAAATAGACTTGAGCTATAAGGCCTTAAATCCTGTGCCCAGTTACCTCCATACATAACTTTCTGTTGTTTTTCACTTCCAGTTAAACAATGGTGTTAAAAGGACCTGTGCTGTCTGTCTCTCTTGGTGAGAAGGAGTAGTATGCGATTATGCATCTTTGTCTTTCTTTTTTTATTTATTCTTTTTTGTTTGTTTTATTGATTTTATTGGGCTCTACCTTTTTCTCTGTTCCCCTTCCTACCTCTCCCCTCCCCTCTAACCCTCTCCCAAGGTCCCCATGCTCCAAATTTACTCAGGAGATCTTGTCTTTTTCTACTTCCCATGTAGATTCGATCCATGTATATCTCTCTTAGGGTCCTCTTTGTTGTCCAGGTTCCCTGGGATTGTGAATTGTAGGCTTGCTTTTCTTTGCTTTATGTCTAAAAGCCACTTATGAGTGAGTACATGTGATAATTGTCTTTTTGGTTTTGGGTTACCCCACTCAATATGATGTTTTCTAGATCCATGCATTTGTATGCAAATTTCAAGATGTCATTTTTTTCTGCTGTGTAGTACTCCACTGTGTAAATGT